TCTTACTCTTTCCCAAAGAACTTCTTTTACCCAAGTATACTTCTTGCGATGCAGATTTTCCAATAAATAAGAGAGTGCGTTGATCGAGCTATAATCACAATTGAAGACCTCATCAAAATCAATTTGTTCAGAGAGATGAGAAAATGGGTTGAAAAGGCAAGAGCCGGTGAAATGTTCTTTTGAAAGTAAAATTTATTCGAAAAAAGAATGTTTAGTTTTTTATTCTGCTTTCAATCAAAAAGGGTCTATATAAATGCATGCATGGATCTATATAAATGCATACAGGGGTCTATATAAATGCATACAGGGGTCTATTAAATGCATACAGGGGTCTATATGAATGAATACCCTTGTAATATCAGCATATATTCGTTTAACTGCAAGGAGAACCCTGGTTGCCCCGTTAGCAACCCAGAAACGTTGAGAAGAGGGCTTCACAGATGACATAGATCTGATTTCTACGTCCTTTTTATTGACACTCGACGCGTATCTTCTAACAAGTAAATTTACTATTAATAGTGGTGAGGGTCGCCCGACCCCAGGTCCTCTTCTTTTTGGACTGTAGTATGACATATTTCTCAAAATTAAACTTCATAAACAACTTGTCGAACCAGTCACCTTCATATTGAAGTCGTTAGTGTGAAACCGGTGTCGTTCACAACAGACAAGGTAGACAGATCATTTGAATGCTACAGCTCCAGTAAATGGTCTAGTCCAGATAGAATATCGCACTAAATGGCCATTTCATCAGCCCTCAGCTCAACATCTAACCCGAAGATGGTTTGCCAGTCCAATACTTCACACCAATTACGACCCCCAATGTTTATTACGGAAACTGCTATTTACAGTTTGCATGCGGTTGCGTGTCCAATACAGCCTATAAATACAGAGCAATCCGTGCATGTACCACCGTATCCTGCGGTCATCTCTGATAATGTGGTCAAGGCAGAAGCTCAAACGTCAGGCAAATAAACCTATTGTGCTAGCGATTGCAGCTTCTACTCCTAAAATTGAAGTCCCCTTGGGCCGTAATCTTTGTTTTAATAGTCAACATTTAGCAAATGTCAAGGTTAGTGACATTTGTCCGATGTTTTCGAAGGTCCGCGGTGTAAAGTATGTTACCAGATAATTTGTTAAGTTTCTGCAAATAACTGATAAAAAATTATACTATAGAATGTTTGCTAGTATGATGCCTGCGCAGTGTATTTTGATATCCTGATATAACATGTTGACACCTAACGACCATGGACTTGTCGCCTCGACCATGGTCTATAAGTTGCGCTGATGCATTGAACTGGTCGACACTTGAAGACTTTAAGCTACAAATCTATCGTTTTCAATGGTATAAAAAGTGTTTAAAGTAAACATATTCGGTATGCTAACTGTTTCTGGCGAGGTTGATGGCGTTCGCCGTCACGCGCTTATTATTAGCTACACGAGGGAGAGGCACATTGCGATGATAAAATACACTCCTAGTGTGGCGGAGTGAGTCGAACCTGACCGACTGCACTGATAAATACAACACAGTTCGTCGCCAGAGGGCTAAATATTGAGTCACTAAACCAAGGCCTTTGTTTGGTGACTGAACAGCGCTTTGGAGAGCGGGGTTCAGAAGGCTAGGCAGAAAGCTGTCAGATTTAGTGAACGCGAAACCGATGATCGTGTGTATGAGACAGAGCAAAATTTAAAGTTGCTCTATCGTTCATAGCTAAGTCCATATCTGGTCAATATAGTTATTAAACGCTGGCTATTAGATCCTGAACGCTCGTTCTTAAGTTATTTCAATTATGGAATGGGGTCTACAGGACCTTATTGTAACCAAATGACAGAACCATAGCTACAGTTCCAATTGGAACTTCGTAAACCCAGCAATTACTACCTCCATGTCAAATATCTATCTGCACATGTCTCGGACTTTTCTAGGATTACCTATTATTAAGGATTCTCCACAGAATCCGAAGCGTCAGGAAAATAAAACTCTTGTTCCAGTGGTCACGTTTTCTTCTTCTGAATATCTATACCCTTAGGTAACGGAATATCTAACCAACGCTCACAGATATATTGATCCAGATTACTAATGGATCTGGTCAGTGCACAGGAGTGGTTTCGGATATAGCTTAGGGATCAGGTCTACGGTAGTCAATCATGGAGTAGGTTGGGTTATCAGTTATGGAAACGTATAAATTCTCAAACGTTATACACTGAGTGTTTTTCAAGGAACCGTAACAAGCCTAAAAATTGAGACGACCACAGCCAAAAGTGAATGATCAGTGGTAGATAACAATGACAGGATGTCCGAAATGTCAGGTGAATAATGTTCTCCTGTACCGATCGCCTCTTAGTCTTTTCGTCACTGGATACAGAACATTCAAATCCTTCTAGGTTTACGTGTGATGCAGATTATATAACCCATGCAAGACACTTATGTGTTTTTTTACATGCATTCATTCACCGTTACCGCACAGACTCAGGTTGCTACTTGCGTCACAAGTCACAAATATATCAAAACTAACGTTCCACATTTTCATAAGTGCAAAAAATATAGGTGTAAATGACAGTAAAAGTCTTCTAGTCACTTCTTTAAACTATTGGCCATAACGACAGAAGTCGAATATGTAAATAAAATTGAAAATTATCGTCATGCTGTAGAAATGATTGAAACCTGACCTACAGAGTTTATCTATATGTCGACTTTCAGCACACTCGAACATGTTACATGCACATTTTTTTCCCATCTTCAAAAAAAGCATTGAATAATTTTTAGGGGGTTTGACAGATTTGCTTAATTCGGTTGACTAAATTGTGAAGAATTGTTGGAAAATCTCTTTTTACTTGTCTTTTACATAGATGGTTCACACCCTATACAAAAAGTTCAAGTCGCAACTCGCATGCCATATTAAAAGTACCGCTTTTGGCCATCGGAGGCCCCTTCATATTTCGTCAGCTCTTTGATGCAAAATCTTTTACTTATACCTATTTAATTGGTGATGCAACGTCCCGTGAGGCACTTATCATTGATCCCGTTCTCGAAAAAGCCGAGCGAGACATCGATCTGGTGCGTCCAAATTGTACAAAAATATTTTATGTTCGCGTTACCACTGCTTATTACAATTTCTGAGATGTACGAATTGCTTTAACTGAAAATATACTCAATAGATGTAGCTGGCTTCCTGAAATACAAAAACGTATCTTGTTGAATGTTCTTCAATGCTAAAGTCCTCTAAGCGAGTCGTTCTACGCTACTGCTTTGGGACTGGGTACTACCGATCTCAGCTGTGGGTGAAGCCAGATTAAGGCTGTGATCTCCATGCGCCGAAGATATTTGAAAGTCCTCCGTTTTATTGCAGCCTGGTGTACGAATGATTCTAATTTACTATAAGACGCAAATATATCGGGCGAGACTTGAATTAATGATAGTTCGTGAAATTTGCCTGTTGCTTTTCACATTTTATGATTCTGCTACATTGCCTTTCGTCTAATCTTTAGTGGACTTACTTTTATGGCTTTGTCTAACGACTGAAGCAATTCTGGAGATCACACACGGTTTCGTCGAATCAGATGAAACATTAATTTGAAAAAAGCCATTATTTTCCATGTCAATTATTTCGAGTAGTGTTGAGATCCGAAAAGACTTTAGCCCTAATTGTAATGCTGGGACTGCTCATGGAAATAATATCTTACGGTGTACGCCCGCCAACGCAAGTTCTATACCAAATCTTGGGAGCAGAGGGTGGGGGGCAATCGCGAGTGTGTTTCTTGAAGTGCTAGAATTCAGATTTTGCCACGTTCCCGTGACCTTGGGATCCTAACGAGAAAATGTCATCTATAGTTGAGTATAGGAGTAGCCTAAGAACCTTCTTTGTAAGGGTTATTTGTCAGAAGAAGATCCACCGGGAGTATTTAAGGGAGTCCCTGGACAAATCGTGGCGAAGCCGAGAAAAACGCGCTTATCAAGCATGAAGTCTCCTCCATATTAAAATTCCCAATTGCATATTCTACGGAATGATCTATTCCTGCAACGCCACTTAATATTACTTCATGAAAATTGTAGTCTGTATGAAATCGAAAAACTTGAACCCTATTCTGTCAGCTTCTTTCTTTCAGTGACGTTAACATATCAATATTGAAACCCTTATTGCGCTTATAACATGTGCAGGCCTTATCATGACCTCTGAAGATACAACAACCTCCCTCGACTCTTTAAGATCGAGCAATTCTCTTACTATGTGCGTGAAATATAAATTTTTGCTTTGCTGTAGGGAGGAATATTAGTATATATGAAGGTCCTACAGTGCTCTTCCAAATGCATTTGTGCGCTGTTCTGTTTGTATTAGCTTCCCGTGAAGCGGACATTCACGGCCTCCAGCTCACTAGCTAATCAATAACTGCTGGCCTATTTCGGTCGCAGACAAAATCCCTAGCGACGGCGGTGAACGTAGACGCAGGAAATGTAGTTAAAAGGTTAATGGCGGCGCTTTGGCTTTTAAAGAAACTCGCTTATTCAGCTAAACTGGCAACTACTGCCACACACTTGTCCGCCATCGAAAGAAATGCAGACTTAGAACTGCGATCGAGTCCCGTTAACCGATTGAAGCATGTTTCGTCCGTACAACCTGCTAATAGGAGCAAACAGATGAGTTGTGAGAAGCAGTTCGGAAAAAGAAGATACAATCGATCACTCCTACGCGGAATAAAGAACACTAATCAGGTTGTGCAAGGCGACCAGTGACGAATGCGGGATCTCCAGACAGCACCCTAGTTACCCTAAGCCGCGTTTGGCTCTGATGA